GCCGGGCTGACCACGCCCTCGGGGCAGGCGGGGGGCGGGGCTGCTTTGTGAGCGCGGTAGGGGCTCAATGGGCGCATTGTCCGGCCTGCGGGGAGCCGCGCCGTCACGAGCGGCCAGGCGGCCCGGCACGGCCCCGCGGGCATCCGCCTCTGGCAGAGCTGGGGGGGAACCCAGGCGTCCTGGCTCCAGCTCCCCCTCCCTTACTAGCCCACCAGCCTCCTTCTCCTCCCTTCCCCCACCCAGAGCTGGGAGGAAGCCCAGGTGTCCTGGCCCCCAGCCTCCCCCATTCGCCCACCGGGCCCGGTCCCTCACGCTTATGTTTACTTGCCGTTTTATTTCCCGGTGGGACTTTGGATCTGTTCCCCTCCCAGGGCACGCAGAGGGACAGCTGGCATAGGATGCCCGGGGTGGGGGGAGGCTCTGGGAGATGCCCACCTGTGGTGCTAGAGGTCCTCTGGGCAGGAAAGTCCCCTTCCAGCACTGTGAGGAGACTTCGGCATCTTCCCCATCTTTGCCCTCTTGCTCCTCTCCCTGGATGGCTGGCGTAGCATAACAACAGGAGTCACCATCTCTGCTAAACTCAATCCGCACTCCTTTCCCACGGCTCCACCTAAGGCGGGTTGAGTTTGGCATTGGTTTATAAACACTTTTGGAACCAATCTGTTTCACACATCTTCCCGGTGTGCTTGTTAGTGTTTTTACCAGTGCATGTTCACGTGCATCTCACCTGGATAGCTGGTCTAGCCCAGCTCACAGGGATTGCATCCACTTTCTTGCGGGGAGGACTGACCCTGGTGCTAGGGTGGTCATTGTAGAGGGCATTCTGGTTTTCTGCTACTCTTGTTTTCTGTCCTCTATTGATACAAAACCCGACACCTTTATGTCCTCTTTTTCTCTTCAAGAGAAAAATAGAGGACATAAAGGCATCGGGTTTTGTATCAAGAGAGGACAGAGGACAACCAGACTGTCCTCTATGATGGCCACCTTACCTGGTGCCCCTTGGCCCCTGAAACTCTGCAAGCAGGAAATCTACAGGCATGTGTTGGTCTCCCCACCCCAGAGGAAAACCACTTGGGGCATCTTATCACCTGCTCCCCACAGGTGCTTCGCAGGGCAAGTTTCAACCCTGAAACAGATCAAAACATCTCCAGCTGTCTTCCCTGTTTGCTTGGCAGTTGTACTACATGGGTCTGGAGACCCAACTCTCCTCCCCTCCTCTGCCATGTGGCCATGCCCACTTGCACCCTCAGTGTCCCTTACCACAATTGTCAAACGGGTCCCTAGGATACAGAATCTTTAAGAGAAGAATATTGTTGCCAGCCTGAGTATTGCCCGGTGCAGGTGAGGCCCTGATCCTGGACCTAACAACCGCCAGCAGTGCTGGTTCAAGGGGCCCCTGATCCCTCAAGGTCCTGGGACAGAACTCCATGGGACTGGAGCCCCACTCCTGACCCCAGGGCCCTGGGCAGCGCCTGGTGTGAGAGGGGCCACAATCCCAGACCAAAGAGTCCTGAGCAGTGCCCAGTACAGAGA